AAAAAAAAAAAAAAAAACCCGCACCTATAGTCCCGTCACGTAGATCCTATTTTCCTTGGAAAGCTCGAGCTCGAGGAAAGAACCATCACGGTGCCCTGAAAATTCCTGATTTTCCTCATTTTATCTACAGCCACGCCCCAAATACGAGAGATAAAAAAAACTCTTTTACAACGTACGAATTAGACGATCCACGTGACGCATCTCTTGTCATTTCTGACGCTGTATGTGCTATATCGTCCGTTAAAAATCCACAATTCCCACCGATGAGTGTTATTCCCTGAACGAGGCCACTATAAAACATAAATAAAAAAATTAACAAATTTTAGTTAGGTAAGAGCATCGAGTCATCCCCCCACCCATTAAAATCGAATAAATCTTGGAGCTCGGGCGACGAGGTGTCACACTTAAAATTTAACGACGACGAAGCAGAGAGCAGTCGAGGGCGACAGCCGGCATGAATATCGGCTCCCTAATTGTCCCGATTGTCGTCGCACGCGCGCTATACATATAGAGATACACCCACAAACCGGGCACTGCCCCCCCCCCCCCCCCAACCTATACGCCGTCATCATAGGAGACGTTCGGGGCGATCGAGGAAACCACCCAACTCTCTCTCTCTCTCTCGGTGCATGTCCGATTGCTCTCGTCGCGCTCACCCCCGAATCGAATTACACTGACATACATATATCCAACCGTGCTTCCCTTGATCCTGCAGTATACACCTCTACTCTCGGTGTCTATGTACTCATACTCTCCATCTGCACTTCCTCGACCAACTGAATCAATTACTGTGCACCAATGACGCGTTCGCCTAACGCGCAATATATCCATATACGATAAGCTCGGCCGTATATATTACATCGGGTCGTACATCGATTAGGGAAACGCGTCTTACTTCATACATATAGGAAGGGTCGGAGATACGCGAAGGATCGGTATACATACCGATTTTCCGATTAAAATCACAAAAGCGCCCAATTTGCCGCACTTTGGGTTTTACATTAGGATCGCCGTATAGCTACATTATACATTGTACGCGGCAAATTCGCACCATATCAGTCGAGGAAGGGAAATAAAGAAAAGAAAGAGTCGATGGGGTGAGGGGAGCAAGAAATGTAAAAAAAAAAAAAAAAAAAAAAAAAAAACCGGTCGACGAGTGTAAACGTATATATAGGTGTATACTTGGAGGAAAAAGTTGAAGTCTGCGAGCGACGCCGACGACAATGGAGCCGAAAGCTGGATATGCCAAATAGCGTCGGGGAGTGCATGTATATATATAGAGATAGATCGCGGTCGCGCTCGACAAGGGCGTATAACGCCCTGTAAAAACCGAAGCTGGAGTGTAAATGTATATACGTGTATGAAGAGGAAAGCGGGGAGTAAGTCGTCGGTGGCGAAGCACAGAGAGGGTAGGTATATATATATATATATGTATGTAAGTGGGGAGAGAAAAACTCGGCCGCCGGCGAATGGTGTACACCACTCGCACACTATAGCGAGTAATTGGGTTTCGAGGGGCTTAATTAGCCTTCGATTGCCCCGAACCTACATATACATGTGCACGGGGCTCTCCTTTACTCTATAGCGACCACCCCCCCGGGCCTGAGTTTGACGTCCAGAACGCGCAACTTTTACGACTATGTTTTTTACCTCTTTTTTTTCACTCCTCTCGCAATCACTCGACTCGGCGCTGTGTATACTACATACGCGGGCCGATTACATTCGATATAGAAATTTAATGATATCGTGTAACGACTCTTTTGTCGTCTTTTTGTTTTGGATTCGCCAATTCTTTGTGGCAGCCACCGCGGCTCTGTGTGTGTGTGCTCGCCGATGACCGCGGCATCGAGAGGAAAAAGCGAACGAAAAAGGAATTCGCGTCCACTAGACAAACCATCAATATATTATGTGATTACGTGAAATTCTTGATCTTTTCATTTATTATCATTACTAATTCGTTTTTTTTTTTTTTTTGTTGTTTTTTCTTTACATCATCATATCAGTCTCCTTTGTTTATATATCATTTGAAATGACGAACTTTGTGGCAAAGTGATTGATGGACATTTCGTGCGAGTATAGCTTTATAGCAGCACCAAAAAAAGAATACCAATTAGAGATACTTGATGAATATTGAACGAATTATTATGAAGTGCGAAGCTTCGCGTATCAAATATATGTTTATATACCCGAGCGAAAATAGGAATCCAATGTTCTCAATTTTTTCTTCCACTCGTTTAATGAAGCTTCTCGATGAAGCGTGATGATAAGCGTGAGAAACCCATTATTAAAGTAAGATACTTCTTACGCTGAAAAAAAAAAAACAAAAAAAAACAAAAGAAACATAACAAAACAAATTAAATCAGCTCAATCGACGTATCATCACGTGGGAGCTCGGATTTATCTCAAACACGCGAGTGTATTCGTTTCGGATGAAAAAAAAAAAAAAAAAGACACCGCTACGAGAGGGAGGAGGAGGGGGAGTATGGGTACTGGCGGTGCTCTCGATCGGCAACTGGTTTTTATATGAATTCCTTGGGAAAAAATAAAAGTGTTCAAGGCACAAAACGAGCGAGGATAAAACCATTCAATTCCCAACACCCGGATACATCATCATCGTATTACGTGAAAGATAAGAAAAGGAAAAAAAAAAAAAAAAAAAAAGAAACATACACACGTACCTTATAACACTGTTATTTATAGTTTTGGTAGCATCAACAGTTTCAAATCGTACACAGATAGAATATAATAGGGGGGGAAGAATCCAAAGTGTGTATCCACATGTAGACGACCATAAATCTGTGTCTGTGTGTGTGTGTGTGTGTATTAAATAGCATGATCAGCAGTAGCAGTAACAGAGCAGAGAGGAGAAAAGGGATAAGAGAAAGTGTGTATGTATGTATAGCGCGCATGTAAAAATAAAGAAATAAAAAGAGAGATAGGTGTTAGTTTCGTGCCGGCCGGTTGCTAGTGCGGATCAGCAGTATTAGGTATATATATATATATATATATATATATTTATGTATACAGGTGCATTGTGTAAATATATACGCGCGGAAATTATAATAGTCCCACCGGCGGCGTCACGATCTCGACTCTATTTGCAATAGGATATCTGCATCGACGACGCCCTTCCAGTACAACATTTATATACCAACGACGCTTCGAAGTACATGCAGGGTATATATTATATACTTGATATATACATATCCGAGTCTCCCTTAAACGCGTAAAAACGAACGATCGAAAGATAAAAGGAAAAACAAAAAACGAGAAAAAAAAGGTATGGATCGGTGGAAGGGTTGCGTGGCTGTGGTGACGGGAGCGAGTTCGGGCATCGGGCGAAAACTGGTCGATAAATTATTGGCCCACGGGATGAAGGTCGCGGGTCTGGCGCGTAGGTGCGAGAAGCCGGTGGAAGAAGCAGTGGGCGAAGGCTCGTTTCATCCGATCCCGTGCGACCTGCGGAACGAGGGGGATATCGTGGCCGCGTTCAAGGCCATCGAAACTAACATCGGACCCGTCAGCGTCCTCGTCAACAATGCCGGCCTCCTGTACAACGAGCCCATCATCGGTGAGTCCCCTCCTCCTCCTTCTTCTTCTTCTTCTTCTTCTCCTCTCATCCTTATAGTTTGGGGTTCCAAAGTTATACGGTGTACATATATATATATACTTTGTACGATTAGCAAACGGAAGTGCAGGTGAACATGTTTTACGCTCAATTTACATACAAATTTGATGCTCAGAAAGAGATAACGGGCCCAAGAGAGAGAGAGAGAGACAGGCAGGACGTCTCTGTCGAATAATTTGAATACATATCATAAATACCAGATGTGAGGGCGTGTTTACTCTCGAGGTCCGTTTTTGTATATACTATATTATATTACAAGAGCCCATAAGTACTTACAAGCTTTTCATTTGACAAAAAATTGTATCCACACTGAAATGATGAATTTATTGTTATTATTATTATTATTATTTATTACCATTACAATCGTGTACATGTACCTATGATGAAAGTTGAACGATTTGCAATGACAATTAATTTTTTACCATTACACGAGCTTCCTCCGTCTTTAGGGACAACGTGAGGGTAAATTGGCTCAAAATTTCTTTGGTGAGGTATTTTTATTTTTGATTTTTCCTTCAATCCGTGACGTAAATATTTTTCGGTTGGGCCAGACGGCCAGACGGACACCTTCCGCAGTCTCCTGGACGTGAACGTCCTGGCGGTGGCCATCTGCACGAGGGAGGCGAGCCAATCGATGCGCCGGCACAGGCTCGCCGGCCACATAGTCAACGTGAACAGTATGGCCGGCCACGACGCCGCAAGGATCAAAAGCACCGTGAGCCTGTACTGCGCTTCCAAGTACGCCGTGGCCGGAGTCACCGAATCCTTGCGCAACGAGCTCTTCAACTCCCAGCCCAGCATCAAAGTATCGGTAAATTACATGCGACTCGCCACACCTTACTCTCATACATCTCTTTTTTCTCGTTCATTTAGAGTAGGAGCTGTTCAGTCTCTGGAACGAAATTCCAATTCTGATGGTCATCGGTGTACCCCAGGTTGTACGGATTATTTCCGTGAGCATCCTGAACGTAACTAATAATATAAGCATCACTGAACATTAAATTGAATGAGATTTGATTGAATGACCTTTAGTTCATACTCGCTTAAATATAATTGCATAACCATTGTATTTTTCACTTGGTCTCATTACATTGGCTTACTCTCTTACGACTAGTCAATTCAATACCAATGTATATTTTAAAATATTATTGCGCGAATCTACGTTGTAACGGTTATTTTTGGCCTTTAATTGCAGAGCATCAGCCCCGGGACCGTGAGGACCGACATGGTGCGCGTTGCCTTCGACATGCCCAGGGACTACTTCGAGAGCGCCCCGTACCTCGAGCCCGAGGACGTCGCCGATGCCATTGTTTACATCCTCGGGGCCCCGCCCCACGTCCAGGTGAGCGATCCTCTGGCATCTTTTGGGGCAAATAAGACGATATCTGCGCGGGTCGCGATGGTACATGCATTATTTACCATTCCGAGGAAACTTTAAAGTCACTTTTATGCTAATCCGCGGCCTCTCTTTCGCGCCGCTTTAAAAGTCAATGCGCCTGCACGCGTATATATAAATCCCCAACGCACATCAGCTGCAAAGGATATAGAAGGGAGCTACGATGGAGATTCGAAACTTCTCCGAGACCCATATACCTATTATTCAATTGCAGATACAGTTTTTTTTTTTTTTTTTTTTTTTTCCTTCAGAGTTGAATTTTCATGAGCCCTTTTCTCTTCACAGGTGAACGAGCTCATTCTCAAACACGTGAGGGAGCCATAACGAGGATGGTGGTGGTCGCTTTGAAACTCTTCAAACAACTGCGGTTATTTCTTTTTTTTTTTTGTTTTTTTTTTGCTCCCNTTTTTTTTTTTTTTTTTTTTTTTTTTTTTTTTTTTTTTTTTTTTTGTTTTACGTATACCGGTCAAGTGCCAGAGCAGGTGGTACAAGGATACGGATTATATACCTAGGACTTGGTCATCTCGTATTACAGAAGAGATGATCTGAATCTTTTGTCAATATCCCATCCGAATTACGGGAATGGGCATCCCAACGATGAAAGAAATTATTGTTTGCCAACCGTTTTATAAATAAAACGTTTTTCTCCAGTATTTTGCGAATGATTTCAATTTGAATCCCGGCCAATGTACTGGCCAAAAGATTTTCTCTGCGATTTGTTTCAAGTAAGTATACGTAGATTGTGTGTACACACATTCTCAAAGTTTCGTGATTTTTGTACGTATCATGAGATATGGAAATATTAAAATAAAAAACAAAAAAAAAACATTTACTTATAGATTACCAAATGAAATGGGGGAACGAAGTTGTGAAGTATATCTCATTTAAACACATACATACTGAATGGTGGCTTCTGTCGTTGCGGTTGTTAAAAAATATTTCTAAAAAAATAGAAGTACCGTACAGCAATAGCCTTTTATAATAAATAACTCAAAAACGGTACGGATGAGCTTATGTAACTTATATAGGGCTGAGCGTATGATAAATTAAAACATCATAGTTGACCATATTGAAATCGTTATTATTTAAAGTTAATATCGCGATTCATAATACATATATTTATACTTACATCGTATGCACAGAGTCTTTTTCTCTCGAGCCGATAAATAACGTATGCTCGTCAATAATATATGTCTATTCGGTCTCCTTGTCTTGGAAAAACGCGACCGTGCACGCTAAATCCATATGTATATGTACGTATATTATACGTATGAGTGATTCCAACAGAAAGTAACGGTGTGTAGGTTTGATTCTTCAGAATTGAAAACAAATTTTTTTTAATGTGCATGTCTTCGTGTAATGCCTACCTTGTCAGTGTGCAAGTGAAATGGCCAACGCGTAGGGGATAAACATTTGAGGGAAAAAAACCCATACATTTATAGCAATAACACTCATTTCCAGCTCTAAAGGTCAATGACTTGAAAAAAAAAAAAAAAAAACTTTTCCCTAAAAAATAAACCGAATGACAAAAAGTAATCTACTTTCGTATGCGTATGTACGCGAAAAAAGAGGGAAGTAACAATAGCCAGGTTCAACCTTCGATTTTTCGAACAATGGCACCAATGGCACCAATGACGTTTTACACACGATCTCATGAATCCGCGGGTAATAAACCTTTATGCGAAATTCTCGCCAAGCCAAGAGAAAAGGAGATCGGTATCTCCGTCGTAAAATCTATATGAATTCGTCGCAAAATATTTTTACTACTACAGACACACAAGCATACCACCCGGCTTTTCCGAGCTCTGCTGACGTGTATTTTTTTTTTTTTTCCTCCGTAGTTTGAAAACCCACGCGCCGGAAGCGCTCGCCTTGGCTGGGACTCTCGAATCCATCGTACCGTGTAATCACCTCTTTCTTAAAGGTTACACTTGTCTTGTTGGTGTTTTTTTGTTGTTGTCTCTCTCTCTGTCTCTCTGTCTCCCTACAAGCGTATACTTTTTTTTACCGTTACCTTTATCTCGACATCATTCATGTATTGTTTAAATTTCAATAATCTTACATTTGAAGATAATTGCAGCCAATGGATGGATTAGTCGATAAACTATAGTAAACACGCCGAAGCGAGGACAAACGTTTTATTAATAAAGATGTTTGCGGGTTGCATCCGTCACTGCGTTTACCGGTACACTGTATAAATTATAAATATATGCCTTTACAGAGATACGAATCTGTAAACCAGCTGCATCGATTGCGTGTTGGCTTCTTCTTTTTCCTCCTTTCCCCTTCCACTCGCGTTTTTTTTTTTTTTTTTTTTTTTAATTTTTATTTTCATCGCCGTTCCACGAAGCATAACTGTATAGTATGTGCATCAGTAGCGTTGATTTGTCCGAATCGATTGTTACTATTCGGTATGTGTATATGAATGAAATGTGCTTTACAACTTCGTTCCTTCGTTTCATTTAGTAATCTAAGTAAACGTTAATTTTTTTTTAATATCTCCATATCATACTATACGTACAAAAATCACGAAACTTTTACAACTAAAGCTTTTTGCTTACAATCTACTTAGCTTACTTGAAACAAATCGCAGAGAACATCTGTTTGTTAAAAATTGGCAGAGTAATTGAAAAAATTAAAATTATATAGAAAATATTGAAGAAAAACGATTTATTTATAAAACTGTTGGTAAAAAATAAATTTTGGGGTGTCCGGATCGATGTATTTTGTAAGAAAAATTGAGTCTTCAAATTGAAAGAAATTCAGAGGTCTTCAGTTAACAACTAAATAATAACCGAATCATTTTTTTCCGAATACGATTTTTCATAGGTGAACAATTTACGATAGATCAAAATTTCGAAAAGTAATATTCATAGTAGATGTATTTATCCTATTATCGATGTAAAGCATTTTAGAATTTTGCCCTATCGTAAATTAGTCTTCATTCGCGAAATTTTTCTCATTTCCAATTTTTTCTGAATCTCCTCACCCCGATTATTCCAAAATGACGTAACTTTCGGAAATTTTGATCTACCGGAAATTAATAACTTATCGTATTCTGGAAAAAAATATGATGCGGTTTTTATTAAGTCGTTAACGGAAGACCTCGGATTTTTTTTTAATTTGAAAATTTAATTTTTCTTACAATAGACATCAACCAGTAACAATCGTAATTTACATACTTACTGGTATTTTTGTACGGAAACAGTAACATAATATATCTAATTGAAACGTTACAATATATATATATACGAATACGTATATACACATGCACGTTAACGCTCCATTAAATCATGCATAGCTTAAAAACTGGTTCACACAATTATTCAGAAATGTGTATTTTATTATTTAGTACGATCAATAGTTTTAATAAAAATGCCTATAATTAATTGTTTGAAAACTTTGCAACAGATCAACGATACTATATACTTAATACTTGAAAGAAAAATCACGTAAAATTTTTTGCTGGTCTTACGTACTTTTTTTTTATCTTGCCAATTAGTTTCGCAAAAAATCAAGTTTGTATTTGCAAAACAAGGTATCATAAAAATTAATCTTCTCACGATTGAACAAAAATATTGTTTCGAGAGTTGAAAAAAATCGTCGAATGGCTTGAATATTGTTCACTACTAACAATAAAATGTATTTTATTAGCGATCAAAATGATGATCTAACTCGCCGCTATTTATTGTACACTGCCCGACGTTTTTACTATGCTCCTTAACAGCGTCAGCGAAACGATAAAAATGGACTCCAAGTGAAACAGAACACGCGTGAATTTACATACCCGTACCACATAGTCGATTCGAGAAACGTAATTTGTTGACAATGTGTTTTTAAACTACATATTAAAAAAGCGCCTTTACATACATTTACCTATACCTAAGTATTTAAGAGGTAATACATAATGAAACATAATGAGGTAAAACATAATGAACAAAGTAACTCGTCGGTATGTGTATGTAAGTAATATTATATATGGTGCACGCTACATGCGATGGAAAGACCTTGACCCAATAATTTACCATCAGCTCTTGGTAAGTGAGTATTTAAAATGTATACACGCGTATTAGCGGAAAAACGTTTAAGGTATGGAATTCACGCGATGCAGTGGGTCGTATAAATGGTGCCCCATCAGTGCTGAAAACTATTAACCAAAAAGTTAAATGCTTATTAATATATACGTTGAACAGCGAGTTTGTCATTGTATTATTTCAGCCGATGTTATTCCGAGTTAAAATGTCTCGGCTGATACTTCAATGAGTCGGGTAATGTAAAATCAAAATTGCACCCATGCAAAGTTAAAAAAAAAAAAAAAAAAA